ATTATATATGAATAATACATTAAATTAGTTTAAAAATTTGTTTAAGGCTAAAAAGTACAATGATAAATAATACAACAACACTGGCTGTGTAGCCTTGTCTAAAAACGAATCTAGCGAACACAACACAATTGGAAACCTATCCATAGTTCATTTTTCATTACATTGTCGTCATTGTCATTGTCTGTTATCTGCAAGTTACCCAAAGGCCTGGTCCCATAATCACGTTTTCCATTTTCTCTTGAAGGCGAGGAGAGATGCTGCTGACCTGATTTCGCTGGGGAGGGAGTTCCATAGGCAGGGGGCCAACACCAAGAAGGCCCTGTCCTGCATCACTGCCAAGCGTGTTTGCGCCAAAGGTGGGGCCAAGAGCAGGGTCTCCCCAGAAGATCCTAAATTTCGAGGTTGGACGTAGAGGGAGATACATTCAGACAGGTAAGCAGGGCCGGAGCCGTATAGGGCTTTGTAGGTCAAAACCAGCACTTTGAATTGTGCTCGGAACTGGATTGGCAGCCAGTGGAGTTGACGTAACAGAGGAGTAGTACACTCAGACGGCTCAACCCATTACGCGAAGTAAGCATTTGCAGTATAGTTGATTTTGCCCAGGGGCGCTCTTGAGGCGCTCTTTGGGGGAAATAGACCTTGACATATGCAAGTTGTAGTTACTGGGATGTATAGTTCACCTACAATCAAAGAGCATTCTGAACTCCACCAATGATGGAATTGAACCAAATATGGCACACAGAACTCCCACGACGAACAGAAAATATATATATCAGAGATTGGTTGGGGGGGGGGGGGGAATACTGTTTGCTTACCATTGAAAATTACCTAGGGCTGCCTCTGAGTACGTTCTCTGTATGACGCTCCCGTGAGTAGTCTAGCTGCTGCCTGCTGGACTACTTGAAGTTTCCAAAAAGTCTTCAAAGGCAACCCCACATAGAGCATGTTGCAGTAATCTATTTGGGATGTAACAAGAGCATGAACCACCGTGGCCAGATCATACTTCCCAAGGTAGTCTGGCGCACAAGTTTTAATTGTGCAAAAGCTCTTCCGGCCACCGCCGAGACTGCCAACTCAATTTTCTGGTGCACTTTGGGGAAGGATGGATCACGGATGATGGGACTTGCAGTACCTTCACTCATTTTCTGAGACCACTGCAACCCTCATCCAATGACTGATCAAAACCAAACTTAACACACAGAGCCCCCAAGACCCACTCTACATCCTGGTACTTTTGGAGGATGATGGACCATGGATGATGGGACTTGAAATACCTTCACTCACTTCCCGAGACTGCTGTGACCCTCATCCAATGACTGATCAAGACCAGTGGAGCTTAACAGCATGCAAGATGCCAAAGAAACATCTTAATTTGGAACTTTGGATTATTGCATGCTCCCCCGCCTCTACTATTTTTCTATTCCTCTATTCACATTTACTGGGAGCCAGGCCCATTGAGCTTAGTGGGAATCGCTTCTGAATTTATTCATAGGATTTTGCTCTTACGTCTCCAAAGTAAAAAGCCTGAATGTTTATATTGTGTCGCTCGGTGTGTTGACCTCCCAAATGGCTTGGAACCGTCCAGGATGGACCCTGTGAGGCTTTGGCCAAGAGAGCCTCTTTGCCCTGAATAGTTCCCCCAACAGCTGTGAAAGCGGATAATGTGCTGCCAGCTGAAGGAAAGCCAAGCCAGGACTAATTTGCAGAAGTCTGATGAAGTTCTTGAAAGGCAATAAATCTGCCCGGGCTACGAGATGCGTGCTGCGGAGGGTCAGGCCAGCCCGATTCCCCTTACGAGAGTAAGCAGTTTTATTTATTGCATAACTGGACAGAACCATCTCATCAGCAATACGTCTTGTAAATCATGCCAGGATCGCAGTGAGAGAGAGAGACTCGGCGCCCAGAGCTGAGTAAGGAAAGCAGATATTTCACCTGCAGTCCCCTTCCTTCACCTGTCCTCCCTTGCAGTGCCTGGCTGGCGTTCAGGTGTGTCTGCGGAAGGCGGGGAAAGAAGTCAGGATGGGAATCGTTTGTTGCAACTCAGGGTACTTTTCACCTTGCTCCCAAACACCACCACACCAAAGCTGTAGATTTTGTAGTTTATTGAAGAAAAGGCAAAGTCAAAACATAGTATAAGAAATGCAAAGTTCCAAAAAGGCTTAAATGCAAAGACAGAGTTCCCAAGATCCAAAAGCAAAAACATGAAGCATAATCTTTTAAGCAATGGTCAAACAATAATCCATGAAACCCAGTTGAACACAAGAACCCAAAATCCCAGACCCAGGAAGCCAGAAGCGTGCTGCTTAAAGCCAAAGTTAATCCATCATTATGCTTCTGGGGACATCATTGTGCTTCTGATGAAGACGTTGAGAGAACCGTGAGACTCTGGTTGCGGAAACAGAGTGTCGACTTCTTCCGTAACGGCTTCAGAAAACTTCTTCATCGTTGGCAGAAATGTATCCAATTGTCTGGTGATTATTACAATCTTTTAATTGTTTTATCTTGTACATGTAGCCCGCCCATTGTTATCGTTGTTGTGATTGTGTTTATTAGAATGCTATTTTATGATTGCTTTTTAAAATGTATTTTGATGATGTTGTTGTTGTTTGTTGTTTATGCTTTGATTTTATTGCTGTAATATGTTGTCCAGGCTTGGCCCCATGTAAGCCGCTCCGAGTCCCCATCAGGGATATGGTGGCGGGATATAAATAAAGGTGATGATGATGATGTGGAACAGTGAATAGTGGTAGTTAAAGAGCACATTCTAAGGATTATTTCTGCGCTTGATTTATTAAAATATTCCCATCCAAACCCAAGTAACGAAGGTGGAGGCATTACTTTTCATTCAACTCTCGTAAAACAAATGTTTGGAGGTGCACTCCACATAGATTGGACATGGCTACGCTACCTTCCCAACTGTTAATTGGAGATGGGTTCCAGTATCTGCAGAGTTGCACAAAGCCCACTCTGATATAGACCTGGATGGAAGTATGGCTGCCTCCTCTTCCTGTTCCAGGAGGCTGCATGATCATGTTTGCCTTCTGTGTTCTCAGCGGTTTTCCCATTCCCTCTGAAAGGCAGAGCTTCTGGCAGCAGCACCTTCCCACCAAGGCATTCAGCCAACCTTGGCGCACAGCTCTGCACATTTCTGCTTGCCACAGCAGAGCACACCTGCTCTCTGGAGATTCCCAGGCGCTTGTGGCTCCAGCCCACACCTGCCCAGGAGATCAAGGCTTAAGGTTTACATTGCATGCTGTGACACCTAAAGGCCAAATGTAGGAGAAAAGAAAGTGTACACGTATATAAGGTCTGATTGTTGTAGCTCGGCAGCCTGGGGCTGATGGGTTCACTGATGATTCAGAAGGGATAGTGGGATTCCCTGGGGTTCAAAATAATGCAGATTCAGGCCTGGTTCAAAGCGTTGAAGCTTCAGGCCAGAGAAATGAAATTAGCTCTGATGATACCGAGCTCCAAGACCAGTCAGAAGAGCCAGAAACATCATCATTAGATAAGGGATCAAGTAAGGATGAAACAGAAAACTCTCATAGGAAAACACCTGGTGCTACGGAAATAAGCAATGAGCTTCATTTAAGGACTAGAGCAGAGATTCAGCCCTGTTGGTTCGAGAGACTACGTGGGAAAGATATAGAGAAAATTCATGGGAAATGACACGATTTCATGACTGCTTATTAACAGGCAGGTGTTTACATTATATTAGTTCAGGCAGTGTTGACTTTCGAGTGAGAAATCAGGCTTGGGTTCTTGTGCCAAGTCAAATGGATGCCTGTGCTATTTTGTGAAGGAGAGGGTAAGATGTCAAGGAAGCATCATGTGTTCACACTATTATTTGCTTAAGAAAATACATGAACTCATAGGAGTTCTGTGTGCCAAGTTCGGATGTAGGTGAACTACAACTCCAAAACTCAAGGTCAATGACCATCTAACCCTTCCATTATTCTGTATGCCAAGTTTGGTTAAATTCCATCATTGGTGTGGTTCAGAATGCTCTTTGATTGTAGGTGAACTATAAATCCCAGCAACTACAACTCCCAAAGGTCAAGGTCTATTTTCCCCAAACTCCAAGAGTGTTCACATTTGGGCATATTGAACACTTGTGCCAATTTTGGTCCAGGTCCATCATTGGTCAAGTCCACAGTGCCATCCGGATGTAAGTGAACTACAACTCCAAAACTCAAGGTCAATGACCATCAAACCCTTCTGGTATTTTCTGTTGGTCATGGGAGTTCTGTGCGCCAAGTTCGGATGTAGGTGAACTACAACTCCAAAACTCAAGGTCAATGACCATCTAACCCTTCCAGTAATCTGTATGCCAAGTTTGGTTAAATTCCATCGTTGGTGTGGTTCAGAATGCTCTTTGATTGTAGGTGAACTACAAATCCCACCAATTCCAACTCCCAAATGTCAATGTCTATTTTCCCCAAACTCCACCAGTGTTCACATTTGGGCATATTGAGTATCCATGCCAAGCTTAGTCCAGATCCATCATCGAGTCCACAGGATGTAGGTGAACTAAAACTCCAAAATTCAAGGTCAATGCCCACCAAATCCTTCCGGTATTTTCTGTTGGTCATGGGAGTTCTGTGCGCCAAGTTTGGTTCAATTCCATCATTGGTGGAGTTCAGAATGCTCGTTGATTGTAGGTGAACTATAAATCCCAGTAACCACAAATCCCAAATGTCAAGGTCTATTTCCCCCAAACTGCACCAGTGTTCATATTTAGGCATATTGAGTGTCCATGCCAAGCTTGGTCCAGATCCATCATTGTTTGAGTCCACAGGATGTAGGTGAACTACAACTCCAAAACTCAAGGTCAATGCCCACCCAACCTTTCCGGTATTTTCTGTTGGTCATGGCAGTTCTGTGTGAACAATGAATTCCATCATTGGTGGAGTTCAGAATGCTCTTTGTTTGTATGTGAACTATAAATCCCAGCAACTACAACTCCCAAACAACAAAATCAATCCCCCCAACCCCACCAGTATTCAAATTTGGGTGTATTGGGTATTTGTGCCAAATTTGGTCCAGTGAATGAAAATACATCTGCAAATGAGATATTTACATTATGATTCAGAACAATAGCAAAATTACAGTTATGAAGTAGCAACGAAAATAATGTTGTGATTGGGGGTCACCACAACATGAGGAACTGTATTAAGGGGTCGCGGCATTAGGAAGGTTGAGAACCACTGCCTTACACCATCCTTTGGTCGCAGACAACTCAACGTGTATTTATTGTGATAGAAACAAGTTCTCCTTTGTATATCTCCCTCATAGCTGTCTGTTCCCTCTGTGGCGTCTACAGAACCTCTGATGTTCCTGAAGTCCCAGGCGCTGGATTGGGAGCCCTTCCTTCTGCTGTCCGGGGTGCTGGTGGGTATTGTATGGCCTGCAGCTCACATGGAGGCCTTCTGCCTCATTAGCCCCTTCTTTGCTCCCTGATGGATCTTTGAATCCAGCTTCCCTGTTTTAAAAAAAGAAACAGGAAAAAAAGGGTTTCAGGTGTGTGGGGAGAGGCAGTCTAATGGGTAGGTTGTTGTGAGTTTTCTGGGCTGTATGGCTATGTTCCAGAAGCATTCTCTCCTGACCTTTCACCTGCATCTATGGCAGGCATCCTCAGAGGTTGTGAGTTCTGTTGGAAACTAGGAAAATGGGGTTTATATATCTGTGGAATGTCCAAGGTATTCTGTATATCTAAACTGTTGTAAACCGCTCTGAGTCGCCTAAGGGCTGAGAAGAGCGGTATACAAATAAAGTAAATAAATAAATAAATAAATAAGGTGGGAGACTGTTGGAGGCAAGTGTGAATGTTGCAATTGGCTTTTATAATAATAATAATTAAAAAAAACTTTATTTGTACCCTGCTACTATCTCCCCAAGGGACTCGGTGCGGCTTACATGAGGCTGAACCCACAGCACATCAATAAACAAAAGCAATAACAAATAATCAATACAAAACAGTTAAAATAAAAAATCAAAAAACAAAAATACACAACAAGCAATAAACAATAACAATAACATACAGCATTTAAAAACCTATGGCCGGGCCAAATGTAATAATTAAAATTTAAATTTAAAATGCTGGGCATAGACAAGGTAGGGTAAACTAGGATAGGGTTTTCAAAGAAAGATAAGGGTGCGCAGACAATCCTAAGTCAATATTAAAGTGCATTTGAGGACATATTGCTAAGAATTTTCCTTATTCTGGGAAGGCACACTGGAACAACCACGTTTTCAGGCTCCTCCTAAAGACTGCCAGCGTTGGGGCATGTCTGATGTCCTTAGGGAGTGAATTCCAGAGTCGAGGGGCCACCACTGAGAAGGCCCTCTCCCTCAGTCCCCACCAATCGCGCCTGCGAGGGAGGTGGGAGCATGAGCAGGGCCTCACCAGATGATCGAAGAGATTGTGTGGGTACATACACAGAAATGTGGTCACGCAGGTAGGTGAGTCCCAAACTGTTCACGGCTTTCTGCCCGGGGGGGGGGAGGGGGAATCCTTTGTTGTCCTCAGTGAATAAAGTACAACACTCAGAAAGCAGAGTTATTCCAGACAGGAAACAATCAGGGAACTCTTTGCCCCGGAGTGCGGTGGAGGCCCCTTCTTTTAAACAGAGGCTGGATGGCTATCTGTTGGGGGTGCTTTGAATGCAATTTCCAGCTTCTTGGCAGGGGGTTGGACTGGATGACCCATGAGGTCTCTTCCAACTCTATGATTCTATGATAGGGCCAGCGAACACCTCCCAACAAAGGATTACACCAGGCAAGAAGCCCAACTTTGAAGCTGCAAGGCCATTAAATGCTAATCAAGGTAGCCAATGGAAACATTCACACTTGCCTCCAACAGACAAGAGTTCTTTCTTCCACCCTGGACATTCCACAGATATATAAACCTCACTTGCCTGGTTTCCAACAGACCCCTCAACCTCAGAGGATGCTTGCCATAGATGTGCGCAAAATGTCAGGAGAGAATGCTTCTGGAACATGGTCATACAGCCCGGAAAACTCACAACAACTCAGTGATTCCGGCCATGAAAGCCTTCAACGATGCATAGTCTCACGAGTGCTTATTTTTAAAGGTTATTTGCAATGTAAATCAGCTGTAGGCAACAAGATCTCCCTCCAGTGACTGTGTTGCTGTCACATTCAATTTTCCTGCTTGAGGAATCAGGCCTTTCCAAAACTCAGTGCTGCAGTGACATGGGGAGCTGTGAAGCGCTCTTCAAGGGGGTGGGAAGGAAAGAAAGAAAGAAAGGAAAGACACCCAGGGAAGCCGGGGAAGGAATCCATGGTGGAAGCTCCCAGTTGCAGATGTCAAAAGTGACAATGAGAAAAGCAAACAAGAGGAGAGCAAGACTCTGATCAAAGTGAGAAACAGTTGTCTGCCATTGTGAAAGGCGGAAGGGAGAAACAGCAAAGCATTCTGGAAATAGGGAAGGGTTCAACTGCCAGTTAGCAAGGTCAAAGTGAGTACCAGGATGTCAAGTGCAAGGAAAGTTCCAATTAACATGAAGCTCTAGGCCAGCGTTTTGCAGTGCCGGGAGTTGGGACCCCTGGGGGGGTGGGGTCGTGAGGAGGTATCAGAGGGGTCACCAAAGACCATCAGAAACACAATATTTTCTGTTGGTCATGCAGGTTCATTGTGGGAAGTTCTATCATTGGTGGGGTTCAGAATGCTTTTTGATTGTAGATGAACTATAAATCCCAGAAACTACAACTCCCAAATGACAAGGTCTATTTTTCCCCAAACTCCACCAGTGTTCACAGTTGGGCACATTGAGTATTTGTGCCCAAGTTTGGTCCAGATACATGGGCGTATCAGGTATCTTCATTTTTTGGCCTGTTCCTGGGGTGATTTGGGGTGAAAACCGCTCTGATTCCCCCGCCCCCCCGGGGGTTGAGAAGGACAGGGTAAAAATGCTGTAAATATATAAATAAAATAAATAATGCTGATTCAAAGAATTACATTTGATAGACCACATCAGCTCAAGATTATTAAATATGGTTTTCTGTAGGTAGTCACCATCCTGTAGATGGTGACTACAGGATGACATATGTTCTGTATCAGACACTAGAACTGATGTGGTCTATCCAATGCGATTTTCTGACTCAGGACCCCAAATAACCAAAACCAAATCTAAAGTTGACCCAAAACTGATTTGTAACCCTTTTGGTACTAATGTTGGAGAATGGATGTAGGTGAACTCCAGCTCCAAAACTCAAGGTAAATGCCCACCAAACCATTCCAGTATTTTCTGTTGGTCATGGGAGTTCTGTGTGCCAAGTTTGGTTCAAATCCATCATTGATTGTAGATGAACTATAAATGCTAGAAACTACAACTTCCAAATGTCAAGGTCTATTTTCCCCAAACGCCTCCAGTGTTCACATTGGGCAGATTGAATATCTGTGCCAAGTTTGGTCCAGATCCATCATTGTTTGAGTCCACAGTACTGTCTGGATGTAGGTGAACTACAACTCCAAAACTCAAGGTCAAGGCCCACCATACCCTTCCAGTGCTTTGTTGGTCGTGGGAGTGCTGTGTGCCAAGTTTGGATCAATTCCATTGTTTGTGGAGTTCAGAATGCTCTTTGATTGTAGATTAACTATAAATGCTAGAAACGACAACTTCCAAATGTCAAGGTCTATTTTCCCCAAACTCCACCAGTGTTCACATTTGGGCACAGTGAATATACATGCCCAATTTTGGTCCAGATCCATGGGCGTATTGGGTATATGTGCCAAATTTGGTCCAGTGAATGAAAACATACTCTGCGTATCAGATATTTACATTATGATTCATTGTTGTTGTTAATTCGTTCAGTCGCTTCCGACTCTTCGTGACCTCACGGACCAGCCCATGCCAGAGCTCCCTGTCGGCCGTCACCACCCCCAGCTCCTTCAAGGTCATAATGATTCATAACAGTAGCAAAATGACAGTTGTGAAGTAGCAACAAAAATAATGTTATGGTTGGGGGCCACCACAACATGGAGAACTGTATTAAGGGGCCATGGCATTTGGTCCAGATCCATGGGCGTATTGGGTATTTGTGCCAAATTTGGACCAGTGAATGAAAATGCACCCTGCATATCAGGTATTTACATAACAATTCAGAACAATAGAAAATTAGCAACAGAAATTATTTTATGGCTGGGGGTCACCACAACATGAGGAACCGTATTAAGGAGCCGCAGCATTAGGTTGAGACACACAGCTCTAGGCCAAACAACAACAAAAATCCCACTCTATGGTTCAGATAGGTGGGTGACGCCTTCACCATTTGGAGCCATGGAGGAGAAGAACTCAACAAGTTCCTGGACCACCTCAACAGCATCCACCCAAACATCCAATTCAATGTGGAAAAAGAAATTGAAGGAAAACTGCCATTTCTAGTAGGCATGTGCAATTCAAGGTTCAAAATCAGTGGTTCGCAACCTGTGGGTCCCCAAATGTTTTGGCCTTCAACTCCCAGAAATCCTAACAGCTGGTAAACTGGCTGGGATTTCTGGGAGTTGTAGGCCAAAACACCTCAGGACCCACAGGTTGAGAACCACTGTTCTAAATGGTTCTAAAGTACTTACAAAAAAAGTTCTGGTGGTGAAAACGAGGGGGTGCTGGTGCTTTGCTTCTACGGTGTTGCTAAAGTTCTGGTGGTGAAACTTTCAGAACTCTAACACAACTTTCAAAATTTCATTATAAATGGCAATTCCTAATAGGTTCTGTGATCAAAATCCCCAATAATGAAATAATAATGAAATTTTGAAAGTTTTGTTAGAGTTCTGAAATTTTCACCACTAGAACTTTAGCAACACCTCAGAAGCAAAGCACCAGCGCCCCCTAGTTTTCACCACCAGAACTTTAGTTTTGTAAGTTTAGTTTAGTAGAACTCCAGTATGCTGATGACAACGGATGCCTGACCACCGTCTCCCAAAGCAGTTGCTCTACTCCGAACTCAAGAACAGAAAACAGAATGTTGGTGGGCAGGAAAAGAGATTTAAAGATTAGCTCAAAGCCAACCGTAAAACTTCTGGCATAGACACTGAGAACTGGGAAGCCTTGGCCCTTGAGCGCTCCAGCTAGAGGTCAGCTGTGACCAGCAATGCTGCAGAATTTGAAGAGGCAGGAATGGAGGGTGAAAGAGAGAAACGTGCCAAGAGGAAGGCGCGTCAAGCCAACCCCGACCGAGACCGCCTTCCACCTGGAAACCAATGCCCTCACTGCGGGAGAACATGCAGGTCAAGAACAGGGCTCCACAGCCACCTACAGACTCACAAGAATTCTGATCCTGGAAGACTATCCTACTTGGCCAACAAGGGATCGCCTAAGTAAGTAAGTGAGTTTTGTACTTTAGAACCATTTAGAACTATGGATTGCACATGCCTAATTCTAGATGTCCTAGTCATCTGAAAACCCAATCAACAATTGGGGAACATTTGTGTGTGTGTAGGGTTTTTGTATTTCATGGTGC